GCTGCTCTTAAAGTACTCGCAGGTCCTAAGAATCCTAGTGTAAATTCAACTGCCCTAAAGTTTGGAATTTTGGAAGCAACCCTTAGACATGCTGTTAAAAATAGATTGCCTAAATGTACTGGCCCTAAAACAGTCTTAAGAAAACATGAGGAAGAGCAGCTAGTAGGTTACTGTAAAAATATGCAGAAGTTAGGGTTTGGTTTAACAAGTCGGGTGTGAACCACTGTGTGATGGAGATAGTGAGTAGCAATCATCGTGATCATCTTTTTACAACTAAAAGGCCTGGCAGAGCTTGGTGGAACTGTTTTATGAAAGATCACCCAGACTTATCTTTTCGAGTACCTCAAGCTCTATCTGAAGCACATGCTCAAAGAGCAAATCCGATAATTATAAAAGATCATTTTGAAAAGCTGCAAAAAATAATTGAGAAACATTCACTTACTGCGGGACGCATATGGAATATGGACGAAACTGGTTTTATTATTTCCCCTAAAGACCAAAAAGTTCTCACAACAAAAGGTTTGTATTGAAAATTTAAATTATAAGCATCATAGCTAATACTAAAATTTAAGGTTTTTAATTAAAAAATTACTCAACTCTATAAAAAGCGCTCGTCAAGTTCATAAAGTCTCACACGGAAATGTGCATGAGCACATTTCCGTTGCTCCAACAATTTCAGCAGCAAGTGACTACATTCCTCTATTAATTATTTATAAAGGTGTTCGTATGATTTCTGGTCTATTAGCTGAAGGTCCAGCTAGTGCTGTTATGGGTTTTACTGATACTGGTACATGCGGAAAAGCCTCTTCCAAATGTATATTGAACACTTTATTAAGTCAATTCTGCCTATTCGTCCAGTTCTATTAATACTTGATGGCCATAAAAGCCATGTAAATTATACAAGTGTTAGATTCTGTCATGAGAATGGGATTCTACTTTATGCACTTTCTCCACACACAACACATATTCTCCAAGCATCCGAACTTCCTTTTGCAAAACTTAAAATAGAGTATAATAAAGGTTGTGATGAGCTACATAATACTAAGGGAGAAGTAGTAACCAAGTATACATTCGCTAAGATTCTTGGGCCAGCATTTGCTACAACCTACACTCCTAAGGCAATTATTAATACCTTCAGATCCACAGGAACTTGGCCTTTAAATCCTAATGCCATTAGCCCTGAACATCTTGCCCCATCATTAATAACAGAATGTGAGGTCGCTCAGCCAACCAAAGAAGAACTATCATCTTCCAAAATTATTCCCTCCTCTTCTCAACCTACCCGTAAATACTCTACCAGAACTGGTGTTGCCAAAGAAGTAGAGATATTGAAAGCAGATGTTATATCTCTTGGAAAAGAAGTCAAATTATTAAAAAAAGAAAATGAATCAATTAATATTTTAGAATTCAATATCAGTTCAATATTGTTATACAGTTTATCCATTCAGTGCATATTCAAAAAAATACCGTAAGTATATATATTTATATTTATTTAAATTAAAATTTATTTTTACAAAATTAAATTAATAATTAATATTTAGCTTATATTCATACTACTAAAGACAATCAAGTATCTCAAGGGTTGATTCAAAAAAAATCTGGATGTCCTGTAAAGTTTTGGCATTATGTGCCTGAAGATCTTGAAAAATGTTCTTATATAATAATTATATCACAGTATATACATAATCATCTACTGCCACCTCCATCTAAAATACCAGTTGCAATTCAAAATGATTTAAAAGATATAATCACAAATGAAGATATTTTAGATTTGACTGCCAGAAAATTAATTACACATATATATTAAATTTAAGCTTTAATTATATTATTATTATAAATTTATTAATTATTAATAATTATAATTATAATATAGGTAATTTAATGCAACATTTTCTTAAAGGGGTTCTAATTTTAGAATTATACCCTTCATTAAATAATATGTCAAAAATTAATCATATGATTATGACAAAATATCGTGCTGAGCATCCATATAGTCAAGATATTATAGGAGTTACATATATGCTTTTAAAACAAAATCAAGAAAATAATAATAATCCTTATATTAGATCTATTCGTAAGTCTTTAATATAAATTAATTTGTTATTAATATATAATAAATAATATATGATATATATTTACTTTAAAGTATTGGTACCAAAGATAACTCATTTGAATCAAATATTTTTTTGAAAATATTATTATTAAAATCTACTGACGAGTGAGTCATTGATACTAACTTTGCAGCTGTGAATTGACACATTTTGATACTATTACATTTTCGTATCTCTTTATAAACCTTTGTTTGTAAAAAAGGACAATATACACTTTCACGAACAGTTCCATCCTTATATGAATATTGAATATTTTTGAGATTAAAAATTTTTTTAGCTTTATTAATATTTATGCCAGTTACGTTGTAAATACAAGCAACCCTTCTTCTGATGTTTCTGGGTATTCTTCAAATTCTAATCAATACTTTATTTTAGTAATGATTTCATTATTAGCTCTGCCTAATTTAATTAACTGCAGCTAGATCAATATTAATTAAAAATTAATAATTAATAAATTATATTTAATTCGTATAATGATTAATAAATTATATTTAATTTGTGATATTAATAATTAATAAATTGTATTTAATTCACAATATTGATATTTACTGTTTCAATTTCCTGAATTTCATCAGGTAATTCTTCATCAGTTTGGTTACTAAAATCTCACTATATATTTAAATATTTTAAAAATTTAAATATTTATTTTCTAGTTTCTGAATAATAAATATAAATTATATACCATGAATGGATTCTCAGGATCTTGGGTATCCTCACTCAATGAATCAGAATCCCATTCATCATCAAAGTTAATTGTAGAAGAAATTGTATTAAATGAGCAACTCATTATTTTTTTATTTTTGTATGTTCGAATATTTCAAATAATGCAATAATGCAAAGAAAACAATGTAAAATGAATCAAAAAATTTTTTATTAACAATGATAATAATAATGATAATGATCGTGATCGTTATAATTTAATTTGTGTAATGATAACATATTAATTGTATGTACTGTATGTTTCTTTTAACTATCACTATGCTTCGTACAGTACAATACTAAATTCGCTAATATATTTTATTACAATATAAGAGATTAGGGTATCAATTATCGGTCTAATTACAAACATAGTGCAGGTCATATAGTGATGATCACTAATTAAGATTATTTATAGTATACTGCAGATCAATGATAATTTAATAGTAGAAACATAGAAAGTTCAAGCTGCAATAACTCTTGAACCAGCAAACTCACACAAATAAAATTATATTTGTCAGGTTTGTTATAATGTGCTGTTTAACGTAATAATGCTTTTTTTTTTATTTTTATTGCCTAGAGTGTAGCAAGGAGAATAATGTAATACAAAAATTCTCATTTTTGATTTATTATTAATAAAAATATCAAAAATGTAACTTAGAATTTTCTGCGTATATTGTGACACAGTATGCAATAGCTCTGTTTTTGATATATTTATTAATAATAAATCAAAAATGAAAATTTTTGTATTACATTATCCCCCTTGCTACAATCCAGACAATAAAAAATAAAAAAAAAGAGCATTGTCACGTTAAAGAGCACATTATTACAAACCTGACAAATATAATTTTATTTGTGTGAGTTTGCTGGTTCAAGAGTTATTGCAGCTTGAACTTTCTATGTTTCTACTATTAAATTATCATTGATCTGCAGTACACTATAAAAAATCTTAATTAGTGATCACCACTATATGACCTGCACTATGTTTGTAATTAGACCGATGATTGATATCCCAATAAGAGATGTACTGTATTCTCATTTTTTTATAACACACTATATAGTATGGGACAATACTAAATTTCTTATATATTTTAAACCATGTACGTATTATTTCATATTAAAATTTCATACAGTACAGTACTAAATACTTCACCATACAATACTTTATATAAAGTAGATGTGGGTATTTTGATAAAGTTAATACTGCACACAATAAAAGTCTGTAGAAACCTTAACTTATTATTTTTTTTTTCAGAACTACGAAGATTCTGATGTGTTTCACAATATAAAACAAAAAAAATACAAGTTTTATATGAATTATGCAATTCTCTTTACGTAACAATAATTAACATACCCCAGAGAGTATTTTGACGAACATCATCAGCAAAATTTTTAAGCAGATATATATCGATATATAGCAGTTAATCGATATATATCGATTAAAAATTATCG